TCGGGGGAGTTCCTGGGTTCTCGGGGGAGTTCCTGGGTTCTCGGGGGGGTTCCTCGGGGGAGTTCCTGGGTTCTTGTTGATGTGCTTGAGGCAGATGGCACAGATTGTCAGTCAGGTTGGCGTCAGTTTGCCCCGGGGCAGCTGTGGTTTCACTGGTTTGTTCTTCTCCTCAGATCACGTTCTGTCTTTGGGGGTGAAATCCCGGGACCTGTCGTCTCTGCCTGAGCTCCGGTCGGACCTGGTGAGTCTTTCTAAACGGTCCCAAAGATGGCGTCCGTGTTTGCTGCGCCGTTTCTGAGCCTCTGTCTGATTTCAGCCCGTGGATTTCTTCTCCGTGGAGCTTCACCACGACTGTGACGTGGAGTCTGCGTTTGGAGACACGATCGCAAACATAAAGGTCAGAGGAGTTTAGACCGAATCAAACCCAGACGCTCGACAGAAAAGGCCAAAACGTTTCATTTCAAAGACACATGACACGGAGCCAAAAGTGCAGCGTTCAAACTGACGTCTGTCCAAAAGTTCAGCACAATTTACACCAGAAACACATTTTTCTGACACTTTAAAAGTGTTTTACAAAATAAAAGTGTTTCTGTGTCATTTTATTTGTCGTAGACTTTTTGTTGTGCGTCTAAAGTGAGTTGTGTTTTTCAGAGAGTGTCCGGACCTCGACCTGTTCTCATCTACTCCATCCACCTGGACCACTGCACGGACCACCAGCAGGTCCTGGGGAACCTGCTCACAGGTTTACCAACAAGTCCTGGACCTGGTTTAGTTTAGTCCTGGTTTAGTCCTGGCTGGTTTAGTCCTGGTTTATGGTTTAGTTTAGTTTAGATCTGGTTTAAACCTGGTTCTGTTTAGGTTTTAAAGTTTAGTCCTGGTTTAGTCCTGGTTTAGTCCTGGTTTAGTCCTGGTTTAGACCTGGTTTAGTCCTGGTTTAGTCCTGGTTTAGATCAGTTGGTTGAACTGGGACGTGTGGACGGTCGGAGCCTAAACTCCTTTGGTCAGAGTTTTATGTGAAATATTTATAACAGTCTGTGAAGTACATGATTAAAGAAAATAAACTACTACTACTACTACTACTACTACTACTACTACTACTACTACTACTACTACTACTACTACTACTACTACTACTACAGTACTTTCAGAGTACTGCAGTAGAGCAGGTTTCTCCTCAGCGCGACTTGAAAACTGAATCATGATCGTGAGTTTAGAGGAACGTTCCCAAACCCAGGATGAGTGTAAAGTTCAGGTCAGACCTGAGTTTCCTTTAACTCCGTCCAGTGTAAATGTGAGGTTTGTGTGTAATCGCGGCGCCGCACTGTCCCTGACTCCAGGTCAGACCTGAGGCTCTTTCATGACCTGGAGATAACCTCCAGTCATATCCACTGGAGCAGAGGTCCAGGCTCCACACAAACATGACGACACATGAACTCTGACAGAGTCACTCTGTTCTAGAGTTAATTTAACATTTGTGTAAAAGTTCATGAAGTAAAACTGGACCAAAGTTTCTGTTTAACCCAAATCCAGAGTTAAATGAAGGTTTAGAGAGTAAACAGATAACACTTTGTAGAGTTATTGAGTCATTTATTGAGTTATCAACATTGAGCCACTCGCACCTCGCAGCCTGAGCACCTGGACTCACACTCGTCTCGACCAGGACGGAAAACGGGGAATTTCTTGTCCAAATAATCGTTAAATGTGCATTTGTGCTTCGGCGTGTTTCAGACTGAACGACGGTTTGTGTCTGAACCTCGACAGACGAAGTTTAACGACCCAATGAAAGATCATTAAAACCCAGACATTATAATTATAATTATTATATGATGTAAAATAAACTGTGACAAGTCCGAGACATTTATGATCCGGACTTTGATTTGGATTTATCACATCAACAGATGAACCACACCTGTTTGTGACCTGGTTTAGACCTGGTTTAATCCTGGTTTAATCCTGGTTTATCCTGGTTTAGTCCTGGTTTTCCTGGTTTGTTTAGTCCTGGTTTAGTCTGGTTTAGTCCTGGTTTAGTTTCTGGTTTAGTCCTGGTTAGTCCTGTTTATCCTGGACCTGGTTTAGTCCTGGTTTAGTCCTGGTTTAGTCCTGTTTAGTTTCCTGGTTTAGTCCTTTAGTCCTGGTTTAGTCCTGGTTTAGTAGTCTGGTTTAGTCCTGTTTAGTCCTGGTTTACCTGGTTTAGTCCTGGTTAGTCCTGGTTTAGTCCTTGTCCTGGTTTAGTCCTGGTTTAGTCCTGGTTTAGTCCTGGTTTAGTCCTGGTTCAGTCCTGGTTAGTCCTGGTTAGTCTGGTTTAGTCCTGGTTCAGTCCTGGTTCAGTCCTGGTTTAGTCCTGGTTTAGTCCTGGTTTAGTCCTGGTTTAGTCCTGGTTCAGTCCTGGTTCAGTCCTGGTTTAGTCCTGGTTCTGTGTGTTTCCAGCTCAGCTCCAGTGGGACTTGGACCTGGTCGGGTTCGAGGTGTCGGTGGTGTTGGGTTTGTCTCTGGACGACAGCGTCTCTCACAGGTTCTGGTCGGACGTGGCCCCCCGCAGCGGCGCCTCCTTCCCTGCGGGCTTCCAGTGGGGCGTCTCCAGCGCTGCGTTTAAAGTGGAGGGGGGCTGGAGGGAGGGGGGTAAAGGAGAAACCATCTGGGACAGACACCAGACTCGCCACTCCGCAGACGTGGCCTGTGACAGCTACAACAAAGTGCCCTATGACGTGTCTCTGCTCAGAGGACTGGGCGTGGACTCATATCACTTCTCCATCTCCTGGGCCAGGATCTTCCCCACAGGGACAGGTGAGGCCCTGACAGGTGACACCTGACAGGGGAGACTCTCTGTTCTCCGTCAGGTTCTCCTCACTCTCTGTTCTCTCAGTTCTATGTGCTCTGTTCCGTGTGTGAGGTTCTGCTCACTCTGTTCCGTGTGTTCCGTGTCCGTGTGTCAGGTTCTGCGAGCGAGGACGGGGCTCTGTATTACGACTCGCTCATAGACGCTCTGTTGGCGTCTGGGATCCGGCCTCTGGTTTCTCTGTTTCACTGGGATCTTCCTCAGACGCTGCAGGAATCTGGAGGCTGGACCGACCCGTCCATAGTCCAGGCCTTCAGGGACTACGCCGACTTCTGCTTCTCCCGATACGGAGACCGAGTCCAGGTGAGACGCACCTGACACCGACACACACACCACACGCACAATTCACTCTCACAGAGTCAAGTCAACATTTCCTCAGAGTTTCTCTGAGTCACTCTGTTCTAGAGTTAATTTAACATTTGTGTCAAAAGTTCATGAAGTAAAACTGGACCAAAGTTCCTGTTTAACCCAAATCCAGAGTTAAATGAAGGTTTAGAGAGTAAACAGATAACACTTTGTAGAGTTGACCTGTGACCTCTCCGTGTGCAGGACTGGATCACCTTCAGCAGCCCCTGGACAGTGAGTCACGCCGGGTACGGCACCGGGGAGCACCCCCCATGGCGCCGAGACTACCAACGCAGCGCCTTCCAGGTACAAACAGCCCCAGTGCCAAGCGACGCTTGTGTGGCATAAATTGATTAGAGAAAAATAAGTCAGACTGGACCAGACTGGACTGGACCTGGACTGGACTGGACTGTCTCAGAGTCCTGAGGCTCAGGTCTCTGGTGTCGTGGTGTAAATCCACTTCTCCTGCGTTGGATCTGGAGCCTCAGACTTTTGTTCAGTCTGGTTTAGCACAGCTCAGTCTGAGTCTGTCCTTTAGATCGGCTGAGCTCAGGTCCGTTCAGACTCTAAACCTTAATCCTTGTTTTTGTTTTGTTTGTTTCTCAGGCGACGCACAACCTGCTGAAGGCGCACGCCGAGGCCTGGCACCTGTACGACCAGCGTTACCGCGCCACGCAGAGAGGAGAGGTGGGCATCGCTCTCAACTCCGACTGGGCACAGGCCCTGGACCCAAACAACCCAGAAGACCAGGACGCCGCCCAGAGGTACCTGCAGGTAAAGCCACACCCAGGAACATCGCACACAGACGCCGCGGGAGAGAAAAACACAATGCGGAACATTACGCGCTCGCGGTGTAGGTCGTCCTGAGGATCCTGCGCGGTGTGACTCCGGTGTGACTCCGGTGTGACTCCTCGTTTCCACGGTGACTGTCTGTTTTTCAGATGATGCTGGGCTGGTTCGCTCACCCCATCTTCGTGGACGGCGACTACCCTCCGGAGCTCAAGTCCCAGGTGGAGCTGAAAGCCAAAGAATGTCCCGGAAACCCTCCGGCCGTTTTACCGCAGTTCAGCGCCGAGGAGAAGCTCCGCCTCAAAGGAACCGCCGACTTCTTCGGTTTGACGCATTACACGTCGCGCCTGGTCAGCCACAAGAGGGCGTCCTGCGGCGGCTCCGGCCCCGAGGCGCTCATGGACTACCAGACGCACGTAGACCCGACGTGGACGCCCACCGCCTCCGACTGGATCTACCTGAACCCGGGAGGACTCCGGAGTCTGCTCAAGGACATTTCAGAGAAGTATCTGAGAGAGAGGAGCGTGCCGCTGTACCTGACCGGAGTGGGGATGCCAACAGGGGGCGACGCCGAGCTGCTGCAGGACACCACCAGAGCTGAGTTCATCCGCCGCTGTGTGGACGAGGCGCTGAAAGGTCAGAGGTCACCTCCACTCACTAAATAATGATGCTCCACTCAGAGAGAACTTTCTAAAACTCATTCTGTTCTTTAAACTTTCACCTGCACGATTCCAGGAAACAGTGTCTTGTGTCTGTCCCTCGTGTGTCTCATGTGTCTCATGTGTCTCATGTGTCTCATGTCTCATGTGTCTCATGTGTCTCATGTGTCTCATGTCTCATGTTCATGTGTTCATTTGTCTTCTTATTCTTAATTCTTGTTCTTTTTGTCTCAGTGATTGTCTCATGTTTCGGTGCTGCTGTGTCTCATGTTGGTGTGTGTCTCACCTGTGTCTTCCTGTAGGCGTGGTCATGATCTGGCAGGTCGCTCAGTGACCACGCCTCCCGTCACCTCTCATGTGTCTCATGTGTCTCATGTGTCTCATGTGTCTCATGTGTCTCATGTGTCTCATGTGTCTCATGTGTCTCATGTGTCTCATGTGTCTCATGTGTGTCTCATGTGTCTCATGTGTCTCATGTGTCTCATGTCTCATGTGTCTCATGTGTGTGTCTCATGTGTCTCATGTGTCTCATGTGTCTCATGTGTCTCTGTGTCATGTGTCTCATGTGTCTCATGTGTCTCATGTGTCTCATGTGTCTCATGTGTCTCATGTGTCTCATGTGTGTGTCTCATGTGTCTCATGTGTCTCATGTGTGTCTCATGTGTCTCATGTGTCTCATGTGTCTCATGTGTCTCATGTGTCTCATGTGTCTCATGTGTCTCATGTGTCTCATGTGTCTCATGTCTCATGTGTCTCATGTGTCTCATGTGTCTCATGTGTCTCATGTGTCTCATGTGTCTCATGTGTGTCTCATGTGTCTCATGTGTCTCATGTGTCTCATGTGTCTCATGTGTCTCATGTGTCTCATGTCTCATGTGTCTCATGTCTCATGTCTCTGGTTACAGCCATAGTCCTGGACAAAGTGGACCTGCGGCGCTTCACGGTCGAGTCTCTGTTGGACGGGTTTGAAGGAGCTCACGGCTACAGTCAGCGCTTTGGTCTTCACTACGTGGACTTTACGTCTCCGGACCGTCCCAGAACGCCCAAAACGTCCGCCTACGTCTACTCGCAGATCATCGAACAGAACAGAGCCGGCGACGGCCTCAAGGCGGCGCGCTCCCCTCCGCCCGTCTCCTTCACGCCGGGACTGAAGAACCTGCCCGCCTCACAGGTGCCCTCCCAGGCGTCAGTGGTGTGGGAGAAGTTCTCTCACTGGTCAGAGTTCCAAACCAAAATGTATTATTACGGAACATTTCCCGACGACTTCCTGTGGGGAGTCACGTCCTCGGCCTATCAGGTCGAAGGAGCCTGGAACACTGAAGGGAAAGGCCCCAGTATCTGGGACACTTTTACTAATAAGAGCTCCAGTGGAATCCCAGAAAATGCTACTGGAGATGTGACGTGCGACAGCTACAACAAACTGACCGAAGACTTAAACCAGATTAAAGCTTTAGGAGTCAAGTCCTATCGATTTTCCATCTCCTGGTCCAGGATCTTTCCCGATGGCATGACTACAACGCCCAACGCTCCAGGTGTGGCCTATTACAATAGCCTGATTAACAGTCTGGTGGGTCTGGGCGTGGCTCCGGTGGTGACTCTGTACCACTGGGACCTGCCTCAGGCGCTGCAGGACATCGGCGGCTGGGAGAACAACCAAATCATCCAACATTTCAACGCTTATGCCGACTTCTGCTTCAAGACGTTTGGAGACAGAGTGAAGTTTTGGATCACTTTTAACGACCCGTTCTCAATCGCGTGGAAAGGCTACGGCAGCGGAGAGTTGCCCCCAAATCTAAAAGCGAATCCTGGAGAGGTTCCGTATAAAGTTGGACACAATCTGATCCTCGCTCACGCCACGGTTTACAAGACGTACGCCACATATCGTCCGACGCAGAAAGGCCTGGTCAGTATCGCTCTGCACGCAGACTGGTATGAGCCGCTGGACGTGAACACGCCCCGAGAGCTGGAGGCCGCAGACAGGGCCATGCAGTTCAGGCTCGGATGGTTCGCTCACCCCATCTTTAAGAACGGAGATTATCCTGAAGCCATGAAGTTTCACGTAGGAAACAAAAGCGACCTTCAACGTCTCAAAGAATCCAGACTGCCGACTTTCACCGCAGAGGAGAAGAACTTAATCAGAGGAACTGCAGACGTGTTCTGTGTTAATCACCAAACCACCAGAATCGCCAAATACTCCACGCAGCGCCTCAAACCGCAGTCCTACGAGTACGACTGGGACATCGTGGAGCAGGAGCTGACGGACTATCCGCAGACGGGCGTGAAGGGTCAGAGGGCGGTGGCTTTCGGTCTGAGGCGGGTGCTGACCTGGATAAAGGAAGAGTACGGGAATCCCGAGGTGTACGTGACCGATAACGGGGCGGCCACCGAGAGGAAGGTGAGCGTCGATGACATTGACAGAGTGTTTTTCCTCAAGACCTACATCGACGAGGCGCTCAAAGGTGAGTTTCAGACCGGGTTTCGACCTTATTGTAGAACTGAGGTCCGCGTCATCAACGATAAAATTAATTTAGCAGACGAGGAAATCGATTACTGCGGCCGACGGGAGACAAACGCACTGCAACATTTTCTTGATCAAACGTCCCTGCAATCCCACATTTTTTCCCACATTTTATTTCCTTGGTCAGAGCGACGGCACTTTAGGTTTTTTATTTCAAGGGAATTATTAAGTTACAGTGGTGCTTTTATCAGGACAATATCTTCATGGACTGGTGGCGTAGGAGTCGCACTGCGTTCGGCATGATTTAGTCCTAGTTAAATCCTGGTTTAGTTCTAGTTTAGTCCTGGTTTTACTTCTGCTTTAGTCCTGGTTTTAGTCCTGGTTTTAGTTCAGGTTTAGAGCCGTGGTTGACGTGGTCGGTGTGTACGAGGCTCCAAACTATGAGCAGGTTTTCAGAATGGCGACATACAAAGTGTTAAAATGTCGGGATGTCGGGGGGGGGGGGGGGGGGGGGGGTCTGTGGGACTAAGGGTTGAACTCGTCCACGACAGAGTAACTGTTTATCTCCTCCACAGACTTTTATAAAAGAAACTACAGCTCACAGTCGTCTGTCGTCCGCGGGGACAGAGTTAGTTTAGAACAGTTCATCTGTGCATTCATGCAATTTTTAAAATCCTTTAAAAGTCTTGGCCTTGTCTCAGTCTCGACCTTTAAAAGTCTCAGTCTTCTCTTGGTGTAAATTTTTAAAAGTCTCGGTCTCGGCCTTTAAAAGTCTTGGCCTTGTCTCAGTCTCGACCTTTAAAAGTCTCTGTCTTCTCTTGGTGTAAATTTTTAAAAGTCTCTGTCTCGGCCTTTAAAAGTCTCTGTCTTGTCTCGGTCTCAACCCTCAGAGGTCTCGATCTTGTCTCAGTCTCGGCCTTTAAAAGTCTCAGTTTTGTTATCTGACTTTAGTTTAGAACAGTTCATCTCTGCGTTTGCGTTAAATCTGTTTTTCAGATGCGTAACATGAAGCCGTCTCCATCTCAGACTCGGAGAAAAAGTTCACGTTACAACCGAACGCTCTGTCGTGTGTGAACATCTTAACCTGTAATAAATCCTCAGACAAATCCTTAACAGAGACGTCCCTGGATTCAAACACTTTTAAAACTCTGATTCTTTTCGTGTCTACAGAATCGACGATGCATCTAAAAAACAATTACTTTTCCCACCCTTAAAGAAAATGTAAAATAAAGTCCGTTTGTCTGTACATCTCCATCTCAAAGTCTCAAAGCTCTGAGCCAAACAAAAGAAACAGTTTTTTGAGGAGAGTGAAAGTTTTTTTTTTTTTTTAATAAACACAGTCCATCTTTGTACAGGAACAAGAGCTGAAACATCATTTATTTCCTCCATCCTCAGTCCTGGTTGAGTTCTGGTGATATTAACACTGTTCCTCGTGCAGCTCAGGGCGTGGACGGCGTGCGTCTTCGCGGTTACCTGGGGGCTCCTCTCATGGACTCGTTCGAGTGGCTGCAGGGCTACACTGTGGGCAGCGGTCTGGTCCACGTGGACTTCACTAAACCGGAGCGACCCCGGACGCAGAAGTACTCGGCCACGGTCTACAGCAGCATCATCACCCAGAACGGGTTTCCTCCTGGTCCTGACGAGATCCTGCTGCACGGACACTTCAGAGACGGCATGATGTGGAGCACGGCCACCGCCTCCTATCAGGTACTGACGTCTGACTAGGTTCCTTAAGTGTGTTAGGAGGTTCTTTTTTCAGACCAAGAGCTCTCGACCTGTAAAAGTCTCGGTCTCGACCTTTAAAAGTCTTGGTCTTGACCTTTAAAGGTCTCAGTCTTGTCTCGATCTTTAAAAGTCTCAGTTTTGTCTCTATCTTGACCTTTAAAAGTCTTGATCTTGTCTCAGTTTTGACCTTTAAAAGTTTCTGTCTTTTCTCGATCTTGACCTTTAAAAATCTCAGTCTTGTCTCGATCTTGATCTTTAAAAGCCTCGATCTTGGCTTAGTCTCAACTTTTAAAAGTCTTGATCTCGACCTTTAAAAGTCTCGGTCTTGTCTCGATCTCGACGAGTAAAAGTCTCAGTCTTGTCTCGATCTTTAAAAGTCTCAGTCTTTTCTCGATCTCGACTTTTAAAAGTCTCGGTCTTGTCCCAGTCTTGAACTTTAAAAGTCTTGGTCTTGTTTCAATCTCAATCTTTAAAAGTCTCGGTCTTGTCCCAGTCTCGACCTTTAAAAGTCTCGGTCTTGTCTTGGTCTAGATTAGTTCTGGTCTTGGCTACAGCACTGGTCTGTGGTTCAGTCCCGTTGCTGACAGGACTTTCTTTTTCTCTTTCTCTTTCTCTTTCTCTTTCTTTCCGTGGGTCAGATCGAGGGCGGGTGGCGAGCCGACGGTAAAGGCCTCAGTATCTGGGACACGTTCGCGCACACGCCGCTCCGCGTTTCCAACGACGACACGGGCGACGTGGCCTGCGACAGTTACCACAAGTTTGAGGAGGACGTGGGCATGCTGCAGGAGCTCGGGGTGGGGTTCTACCGCTTCTCCATCTCCTGGTCCAGAGTCCTGCCCGACGGCACAACGGCACACGTCAACGAGCCCGGCGTGCGGTACTACGAGGACCTGGTGGACGCTCTGCTCCAGGCCGGAATCCAACCACAGGCGAGTTCTGACACGGGGAACATCTGCAGGACGAGGAGGAGTAACAGTAGAAGTAGTAGTAGTAGAAGTAGTAGAAGTAGTAGTAGTTGTAATATCGGTGCTCGCCTCTCCGCAGATCACGCTGTACCACTGGGACCTGCCCCAGGCGTTGCAGGACGTGGGCGGGTGGGAGAACGAGACGGTGGTGGAGCGTTTCAGGGACTACGCCGACCTGATGTTCACCCGCCTCGGGCCCAAAGTCAAACTCTGGATCACCATCAACGAGCCGTACATCATCGCCAACGTGGGCCACGGGTACGGAGCCGCCGCGCCCGGTGAGTCCTGGTCCAGGCCTGGTTTAGTCCTGGTTTAGACCTGGTTTAGTCCTGGTTTAGTCCTGGTTTAGACCTGATTTAGTCCTGGTTCAGTCCTGGTTTAGTCCTGGTTCAGTCTTGGTTTAGTCCTGGTTCAGTCCTGGTTTAGTCCTGGTTCAGTCCTGGTTTAGTCCTGGTTCAGTCCTGGTTTAGTCCTTGTTCAGTCTTGGTGTAGTCCTGGTTTAGTCCTGGTTTAGACCTGATTTAGTCCTGGTTCAGTCCTTGTTCAGTCTTGGTTTAACTTTAGTCTAGTTGTACTTTAGTTCCGGGTCAGTTTTGGTTCATTTCTGGTTGAGTCCCAGTTTAGTCCTTGTTTAGTCCTGGTGTAGTCTTGGTTCAGATCTTGTTTAGTCCTGGTTTAGTTTTAGCCTAGTCATGTTTTAGCTCTGGTTTAGTTCTGGTTTAATTCTGGTTTAGTTCTGGTTTAGTTCTAGTTTAGTTCTGGTTTAATCCTGGTTTAGTCTTGGCTCAGCTCTGGTTCAGTCCTGGATCCTAACCGGTTTTGGTGGGCGCAGGGATCTCGTTCCGGCCGGGGACTCTGCCGTACATCGTGGGTCATAACCTGCTGAAGGCCCACGCCGAGGCCTGGCACCTGTACAACGACCGGTACCGAGCGTCTCAGGGAGGACGGATCTCCATCACCATCAACTCGGACTGGGCAGAACCTCGGAACCCGCACAAGCAGGAGGACGTGGACGCCGCCCACCGATACGTCCAGGTACGACTGACGCTTTCTTCTGGAGGTTCTGGTTCTGGAGGTTCTGGAGGTTCTGGAGGTTCTGGTGGTTCTGGAGGTTCTGGTGGTTCTGGAGGTTCTGTCCGGTGAACACTCGTGTCTCTCTCTCAGTTCCAGTTGGGCTGGTTCGCTCATCCCGTTTTCGTTGGAGATTACAGCGACCTCATGAAGACCATCATCAGGGACCGGAGCCTGGCAGCCGGCCTCACCAAGTCCAGGTGAGGAAGACCGGGCCAAATCCTCAGTCAGTCCTGGTTTAGACCTGGTTTAGACCTGGTTTTGACCTGGTTTAGTCCTGGTTTAGACCTGGTTTAGTCCTGGTTTAGACCTGGTTTTGACCTGGTTTAGTCCTGGTTTAGACCTGGTTTAGACCTGGTTTTAGTCCTGGTTTAGACCTGGTTTGGACCTGGTTTTCCTGGAGTCCTGGTTTAGTCCTGGTTTAGACCTGGTTTGGACCTGGTTTAGACCTGGTTTAGTCCTGGTTTAGACCTGGTTTAGTCCTGGTTTAGTCCTGGTTTAGACCTGGTTTAGTCCTGGTTTAGACCTGGTTTGGACCTGGTTTAGACCTGGTTTGGACCTGGTTTAGTCCTGGTTTTGACCTGGTTTAGACCTGGTTTAGACCTGGTTTAGACCTGGTTTAGACCTGGTTTAGTCCTGGTTTAGACCTGGTTTAGTCCTGGTTTAGACCTGGTTTAGTCCTGGTTTAGTCCTGGTTTAGTTTCCTGGTTTAGTCCTGGTTTGACCTGGTTTAGTCCTGGTTTAGACCTGGTTTTTGGACCTGGTTTAGACCTGGTTTGGGACCTGGTTTAGTCCTGGTTTTGACCTGGTTTCCTGGTTTAGTCCTGGTTTAGACCTGGTTTAGTCCTGGTTTAGTCCTGGTTTAGTCCTGGTTTAGACCTGGTTTAGTCCTGGTTTAGACCTGGTTTAGTCCTGGTTTAGTCCTGGTTTAGTCCTGGTTTACCTGGTTTAGTCTGGTTTAGTCCTGGTTTAGTCCTGGTTTTACCTGGTTTACCTGGTCCTGGTTTAGACTGGGTCCTGGTTTTAGTCCTGGTTTAGTCCTGGTTTAGACCTGGTTTAGTCCTGGTTTAGTTTACCTTTTTGACCTGGTTTAGTCCTGGTTTAGACCTGGTTTAGTCCTGGTTTAGTCCTGGTTTAGACCTGGTTTTAGTCCTGGTTTAGACCTGGTTTAGACCTGGTTTAGTCCTGGTTTAGTCCTGGTTTACCTGGTTTAGTCCTGGTTTAGTCCTGGTTTAGTCCTGGTTTTGTTTAGTCCTGGTTTAGTCCTGGTTTAGACCTGGTTTAGTCCTGGTTTAGACCTGGTTTAGTCCTGGTTTAGACCTGGTTTAGTTTAGACCTGGTTTAGTCCTGGTTTGGACTAACCTCTGGTCTGGTTTGTCAGGTTACCTGAGTTCACTCCGGAGCAGATCCAGAGGATTAAAGGGACTCATGATTATTTTGGCTTTAACCACTACACCACCAAACTGGCCTTTCCACTCGACTACGGCAACCTGCAGCACTACGACGCCGACCGGTGAGTAACACCACCCGGGGTCAGGGGTCAGGGCGGGGTCAGGGCGGGGTCAAGGGTCAGGGCGGGGTCAGCGCGGGGTCAGGGGTCAGAGCGGGGTCAGGGGTCAGGGAGTCAGGGGTCAGCGGGGTCAGGGGTCAGGGTGGGGTCAGGGGTCAGGGTGGGGTCAGGGGTCAGAGCGGGGTCAGGGTCAGGGGTCAGGGCGGGGTCAGGGTCAGGGCGGGGTCAGGGCGGGGTCAGGGGGGTCAGGGGTCAGGGCGGGGTCAGGGCGGGGTCAGGGGTCAGGGTGGGGTCAGGGGTCAGGTGGTGTCAGTGAACCTATCCATGTTGGTTGAAGATTTGGTCTTGTGGCAGATTTATGAAGCTGCTGGAGAAAACCACACACATACACACACATTTACACACACATTTACACACACATTTACACACACACATTTACACACACATTTACACACACATTTACACACACATTTACACATTTACACACACATTTACACACACACATTTACACACACACATTTACACACACACATTTTACACACACATTTACACACACATTTACACACACACACACACATTTACACACACACATTTACACACACATTTACACACACACATTTACACACACATTTACACACACATTTACACACACATTTACACACACATTTACACACACATTTACACACACACATTTACACACACACATTTACACACACACATTTACACACACATTTACACACACATTTACACACATTTACACACACATTTACACACACATTTACACAGAAAAACGGGACTGACATTTACCCGACATCCAGCCATTGTGAAAAAGATCTATTGAATTTCAAAATGACACACAGTTGGGCGGTTGAGTTCGGCGGTTGTGTTCGGCGGTTGAGTTGGGCGGTTGTGTTGGGCGGTTGTGTTCTGCGGTTGTGCTCGGCGGTTGAGTTGGGCGGTTTGTTCAGCGGTTGAGTTTGGCGGTTGAAGCGGTTGAGTTGGGCGGTTGAGTTGGGCGGTTGAGTTGGGCGGTTGTGTTCTGCGGTTGTGCTCGGCGGTTGAGTTCAGCGGTTGAGTTGGGCGGTTGAGTTCGGCGGTTGTGTTCGGCGGTTGTGTTCGGCGGTTGTGTTCTGCGGTTGTGCTCGGCGGTTGAGTTGGGCGGTTGTGTTCTGCGGTTGTGCTCGGCGGTTGAGTTGGGCGGTTGTGTTCTGCGGTTGTGCTCGGCGGTTGAGTTGGGCGGTTGTGTTCGGCGGTTGAGTTGGGCGGTTGAGTTCGGCGGTTGAGTTGTGCGGTTGTGTTGCTGCGGTTGTTGGGCGGTTGTGCTCGGCGGTTGAGTTGGGCGGTTGTGTTCTGCGGTTGTGCTCGGCGGTTGAGTTGGGCGGTTGGTTGGTTTGTGTTCGGTTGTTGTTGGGCGGTTGTGTTCGGCGGTTGTGTTCGGCGGTTGAGTTGGGCGGTTGAGTTCGGCGGTTGTGTTCGGCGGTTGAGTTGGGCGGTTGTGTTCGGCGGTTGAGTTGGCGGTTGTGTTCGGCGGTTGTGTTCGGCGGTTGTGTTCGGCGGTTGAGTTGGGCGGTTGTGTTCGGCGGTTGAGTTGGGCGGTTGAGTTGGGCGGTTGAGTTGGGCGGTTGTGTTCGGCGGTTGAGTTGGGCGGTTGTGTTCGGCGGTTGAGTTGGGCGGTTGTGTTCGGCGGTTGAGTTGGGCGGTTGTTGGGCGGTTGTGTTCGGCGGTTGAGTTGGGCGGTTTGTGTTCGGCGGTTGAGTTGGGCGGTTGTGTTCGCGGTTGTTCGGCGGTTGTGTTCGGCGGTTGAGTTGGGCGGTTGAGTTCGGCGGTTGTGTTCGGCGGTTGTGTTCGGCGGTTGTGTTCGGCGGTTGTGTTCGGCGGTTGAGTTGGGCGGTTGAGTTTGGGCGTTGTGTTCGGCGGTTGTGTTCGGCGGTTGTTGTTCGCGGTTTGAAGTTGGGCGGTTGAGTTGGGCGGTTGAGTTGGGCGGTTGTGTTCGGCGGTTGTGTTCGGCGGTTGTGTTCGGCGGTTGTGTTCGGCGGTTGAGTTGGGCGGTTGAGTTGGCGGTTGAGTTGGGCGGTTGTGTTCGGCGGTTGAGTTGGGCGGTTGTGCTCGGCGGTTGAGTTGGGCGGTTGTGTTGGGCGGTTGTGGGCGGTTGGGCGGTTGTGTTGGGCGGTTGGTTGGGCGGTTGTGTTGGGCGGTTGTGTCGGCGGTTTGAGTTGGGCGGTTGTGTTGGCGGTTGTGTTGGGCGGTTGTTGTTGGGCGGTTGTGTTCGGCGTGTTCGGCGGTTTGTTCTCGGCGGTTGTGTTCGGCGGTTGAGTTGGGCGGTTGAGTTGGGCGGTTGAGTTGGGCGGTTGAGTTGGGCGGTTGTTGGGTTCGTGCGGTTGTGTTCGGCGGTTGTGTTGGGCGGTTGTGTTGGGCGGTTGTGTTCGGCGGTTGTGTTTCTGCGGTTTGTCGGCGGTTGAGTTGGGCGGTTGAGTTGGGCGGTTGTGTTCGGTGTTGCGGTTTGGCGGTTGAGTTGGGCGGTTGTGTTGGCGGGTTGTGTTCGGCGGTTGAGTTGGGCGGTTGAGTTGGGCGGTTGTGTTCGGCGGTTGAGTTGGGCGGTTGAGTTGTGTCGGCGGTTGTGTTCGGCGGTTGTGTTCGGCGGTTGAGTTGGGCGGTTGAGTTGGGCGGTTGTGTTCGGCGGTTGAGTTGGGCGGTTGAGTTGGGCGGTTTGTGCTTCGGCGGTTGTGTTTGCGGTTGGTTGGCGTTGCGGTTGTGTTCGTTGAGGGCGGTTGAGTTGGGGTTGTTGGGCGGTTGTGTTCGGCGGTTGAGTTGGGCGGTTGAGTTGGGCGGTTGTGTTGGCGCGTTGAGTTGGGCGGTTGAGTTGGGCGGTTGTGTTCGGCGGTTTGTGTTTGGCGGTTGTGTTGAGTTGGGCGGTTGTTGTTCGGCGGTTGTGTTCGGCGGTTGGTTCGCGGTTGAGTTGGGCGGTTGTGTTCGGTGGTTTGGTTCGGTTCGGTTGAGTTGGCGGTTGTGTCTGCGGTTGTGCTCGCGGTTGAGTTGGGCGGTTGTGTTGCGGTTGTGCTCGGCGGTTGTGTTCAGCGGTTGTGTTCGGCGGTTGTGTTCTGGCGGTTGTGCTCGGCGGTTGAGTTCAGCGGTTGTGTTCGGCGGTTGAGTTGGGCGGTTGTGTTCAGCGGTTGAGTTGGGCGGTTGTGTTCGGCGGTTGAGTTGGGCGGTTTGTGTTGCGGTTGTTGTTCTGCGGTTGTGTTTTGCGGTTGTGTTCTGCGGTTGTGCTCGGCGGTTGAGTTCAGCGGTTGTGTTCGGCGGTTGAGTTGGGCGGTTGTGTTTGGCGGTTGTGTTCGGCGGTTGTGTTCGGCGGTTGAGTTGGGCGGTTGAGTTGGGCGGTTGAGTTTGGGCGGTTGAGTTGGCGGTTGTGTTCGGCGGTTGAGTTGGGTGGTTGTGTTCGGCGTTGTGTTGGGCGGTTGTGTTGGGCGGTTGAGTTGGGCGGTTGTGTTCGGCGGTTTGTGCTCGGCGGTTGAGTTGGGCGGTTTGTGTTCGGCGGTTGAGTTGGGCGGTTGAGTTGGGCGGTTGAGTTGGGCGGTTGAGTTGGGCGGTTGAGTTGGCGGTTGTGTTCGGCGGTTGAGTTGGGTGGTTGTGTTCGGCGGTTGTGTTGGGCGGTTGTGTTCGGCGGTTGAGTTGGGCGGTTGTGTTCGGCGGTTGTGCTCGGCGGTTGAGTTGGGCGGTTGTGTTCGGCGGTTGAGTTGGGCGGTTGAGTTGGGCGGTTGAGTTGGCGGTTGTGTTCGGCGGTTGTGTTCTGCGGTTGTGCTCGGCGGTTGGCGGTTGGGCGGTTGTGTTCGGCGGTTGTGTTCGGCGGTTGAGTTGGGTGGTTGTGTTCGGCGGTTGAGTTGGTGGTTGTGTTCGGCGGTTGTGTTGGGCGGTTGTGTTCGGCGGTTGTGTTCAGCGGTTGAGTTCAGCGGTTGTGTTCCAGGGGCACGGCGACGGTGGTGGACCGGTCCTGGCTGGACTCTGGCTCTGGGTGGCTCAAAGTGACTCCGTTTGGATTCAGACGGATTTTAAACTTCATCAAGATGAACTATGGAAACCCCCCGATCCTGGTGACGGAGAACGGAGTGAGTCAAAGAATCATGGAGCTGAACGACAGGCTGCGACAACACTACTACACCGAGTACATCAACCAGGCCCTCAAAGGTACTACTACTACTACTACTACTACTACTACTACTACTACACCGAGTACATCAACCAGGCCCTCAAAGGTACTACTACTACTACTACTACTACTACACCGAGTACATCAACCAGGCCCTCAAAGGTACTACTACTACTACTACTACTACTACTACTACTACTACTACTACTACTACTACTACTACACCGAGTACATCAACCAGGCCCTCAAAGGTACTACTACTACTACTACTACTACTACTACTACTACTACTACTACTACTACTACTACACCGAGTACATCAACCAGGCCCTCAAAGGTACTACTACTACTACTACTACTACTACTACTACTACTACTACTACTACTACTACTACTACTACTACACCGAGTACATCAACCAGGCCCTCAAAGGTACTACTACTACTACTACTACTACTACTACTACTACTACTACTACTACTACTACTACTACACCGAGTACATCAACCAGGCCCTCAAAGGTACTACTACTACTACTACTACTACTACTACTACTACTACTACACCGAGTACATCAACCAGGCCCTCAAAGGTACTACTACTACTACTACTACTACTACTACTACTACACCGAGTACATCAACCAGGCCCTCAAAGGTACTACTACTACTACTACTACTACTACTACTACTACTACTACTACTACTACTACTACACCGAGTACATCAACCAGGCCCTCAAAGGTACTACTACTACTACTACTACTACTACTACTACTACTACTACTACTACTACTACTACACCGAGTACATCAACCAGGCCCTCAAAGGTACTACTACTACTACTACTACTACTACTACTACTACTACACCGAGTACATCAACCAGGCCCTCAAAGGTACTACTACTACTACTACTACTACTACTACTACACCGAGTACATCAACCAGGCCCTCAAAGGTACTACTACTACTACTACTACTACTACTACACCGAGTA